GAGAGAGAGAGAGAGAGAGAGAGAGAGAGAGAGAGAGAGAGAGAGAGAGAGAGAGAGAGAGAGAGAGGACAGGAACGCAGGAGAGGGAGGGAGTAGACACGGGCTCGAGCAGGATGGTCCATCGGGACCAATTGAAAAGAAGAAAAAAAAGTGGAAAATCAAGGAGAGGGAGGCGGTATGGAGTTGGGAGAGGGACGTGGTACGGAGTAGGGTTGGGTAGCGTAATTCTGTTGGTTACCGGGCAGAGTTTCTCCGTTAGTGGAACCGATCTAATGGACAACTCCTTTGGGTGGAGTGGACTTTTTCTGCTAACGGTTTGGTTTTCTTGAGAGGACAAAATGCTTTATCCCCTTTGGAGGATTCATGATTGCACGGGCATGCGTTTCCGTTTTGCTGATCTGTTTTTCTGTGTATGGCCTTTCGCTGTTTTTTTTTTTTTTTTTGGGACAGGATGACGTGACGCAGAGAAGAAGGTGCTACAGAATGAACTTCAGTGCTGATGCAATCACTGGCAGATTGATCTACGGTGTCCCGTCTCGACCAATGGCTTCCAGTCCTGATGGACGGCAACCTGGGGCTGTATTCAGCATGAGGGACTGGTTGTTCTACCGTCATTATACCTGCATTTGGGGCAACTTAAGTCTAGATACAGGGACAATGACCGTATGTTCTATTCAGGGGAAGAAGGTAGATAGGATCTGTTCGTAGAACTGAATTCTTTTTCGGAGTCAGTTCGATGATGCACGGTCTGCTACGGAAAACTCCTACCTTAGTGCGAAAGGAGTGTCAAGGGGCTTGCACATCCGGGATATACTGTTCGAGCCTGCCCTATTCAGCACGAGGGACTGGTTGTTCTACCGTCATTATACCTGCATTTGGGGCAACTTTAAGTCTAGATACAGGGACAATGACCGCATGTTCTATTCAGGGGAAGAAGGTAGATAGGATCTGTTCGTAGAACTGAATTTTTTTTCGGAGTCAGTTCGATGATGCACGGTCTGCTATGGAAAACTCCTACCTTAGTGCGAAAGGAGTGTCAAGGGGCTTGCACATCAGGGCCTGCCCTCTGTGCAGGGTAAGGAGGCCTGTGACCTCCCCATTTTCTACCCTTAACCGGGGGCAAGGTCCCACTTGCGCAAAGTAGGAGATTTCGGCCGTTGATCTTTGCTATCTACGGTGAGCATCTCTTAATTCGTGCAAGTGGGACCTTGCCCCAGTTTACGCGGTAAGGCCAATGATGCTTTGGGCCTGCGCGGTAATGATAACAGTCGGAGGTTCGTGAGCCTTGGAAGGTAGCCTCGTCAGCTTAGGCTTGTGTGAACTGCTGGTTTAAACCACCAGTAGATGGCCCCTCAACTTGAGAATCATGATTGAAACGCTTCGGGCTTGGGCGGTAATGATAACTAGTACCTTTGCCGCTTGGGAAAATAGCGGGCCTCGGGTAGGCGTCCGACCTTTTCAGAGGCCGAAACGAAACAACGGCCGCCAATCAGATTTATCAATGGCAGTCGTCGTCGGGCCCGACCTCCGAAAATTCAGGAGTTTGGGAAAACTGCCAGTTTCCCCTGTTTTCCCATGCGGGAAAGGTACTAATGCTTGTGTGAGCTTGGAAGGTAGCCTCGTCAACTTAGGCTTGTGTGAACTGGTGATCTAAACAACCAGTAGATGGCCCAGGCCAAGTTAAGAATCACGATAGAGCCTCTCCGAAAAAGTCGGAGGCTCAGGTCAGCCGAACCAAAATGGCCGGTGACACCAGCCAAAACTAAAACAAAAACGATGTGCTGACGTTTCGGCAAAGCTTGGCGCGCAGTGGGAATCTGCCCCGTACAAAAGAGGCATGGTTGTACTGGTACTAGAAAACACCATTTCAGCGGCACCAGCTCAGTGGAGCCTTCTTTTCAGGAAGCTAACTGGTCCTTTTCTTGGTGACCTCCGCAGGCCAGTATGGCCCAGGCCTCAAGTGTCATGCTCTTACTGGGTACAGCAGGAAGAGTCCGACACCAGGAAGAGTCCGACTTAGCTTTGGCGGAACTGGTGGTTTTAATGATTCTCGCTCCTGATGGGTTGCACCTGGGGTTGGTGGTGACCTCCGCTGGCTAGTATGGCCCAGGCCTCAAGTGTCATGCTCTTACTGGGTACAGCAGGAAGAGTCCGACACTACAAGAGTCCGACTTAGCTTTGGCGGATTCTCGCTCCTGATGGGTTGCACCTGGGGTTGGTTGGTTTCCAGCAGGTGCATCTTTCCACCCACCAGTAAACCAGAGCCTCTGAAAGACTACCGTCTTCACCCGAATAGATCGCTGTATCTGGACTGGAAGTTGCCCCAAATACAGCTATAATGACCGGGCTCTCTAGTCGGGTGAAGACGGTAGCACAATCCTATTAGCCTGGGGGGGCCACCCTGGGACCAATGGATTGTGACTAATCTGCAGATTCAAAATTGAAAAAAAAAAAGAAAGACTGGAAAGGGGAGGGAAGGAGGCGAGCAGAAGTGCCTACGACAGCAGTGATATTTGCTTGGATAAGCCAAAAAGCCATGTAAATAATTGTAAGGTTGTCTATTTTTGGTGGGTACACTGGGTTGGGTAGAGTGAATTTGTTTTTTTTTTTCTTTTTTGGGATAAGGCAAGGGAAATGCTTACCCATCAGTGTTTGCCTTTGGTCTCCTGCCGGTGGGGGAGGTCGGGTGTGAATTTGTTTTTTTTTCTTCCTGTGGCAGGTAATGACCGATCCGGATGCGCCCAGTCCTCAGAACCCAACCAAGCGCGAGTGGCTTCATTGGTAAGCCGCCAGTTAGCCTCTCAGTGATTGCCCATTGATGGATGAACTCTCTCCCCTTCATCTGTGTCTGTTTTTTTTTTCTTTGACTGGTTCAAACCCTAAACCCTCAATCCTGAACTGTGAATGTGAAGCCTTCTGAAACCCTGAACCCTAAACCCTAAACCTAAACCTGGAAGCCCCTGTCCTGGAACCCTAATTCCTCAACCCTAATTCCTAAACCCTAGACCCTAAACTCGAAATCCTGAACCTGAGACCCTAAGCCATCAGTTAGCATCTCATTGATTGCCCATTGGTGGATGAACTCTCTCCCTTTCATCTGTTTCAATTTTTTTTTTTTTTTGTATGTTCTCCCTTTGACTGGTTCAAACCCTAAGCCCTAAACCATAAACCCTCAATCCTGAACTGTGAATGCGAAGCCTGAAACCCTAAACTCTAAACCCTAAACCCTAAGCCTAAACCTGGAAGCCCTTATCCTGGAATCATAACTCCTAATAAACCCTAGACCCTAAACTAGAAATCCTGAACCTGAGACCCTAAACCTTGAACCGTAAACCTTAAACCTTAAACCTTAAACCCTGAACTTGAAAACCTTATCCCGGAATCCTAATCGTAAACCCCAAATCGTAAACTGTACTCCCTAAACTCGAAATCCCGAACCGTCCCTAGTGAACCATCCCTACTGTGCAAGCTTAGCGCAAAATCAGATGCCAGAAGGACATCTTTGTTTTTCTTTTGCAAATTTGGGCATGCAAGGAACCGGCGTCAGACCAGCACAGAACGAAGTGGCTGGGTTGCAGCTTTTGGCCAAGATGAGTTTGTTTGGAGGGTCAAAAGGTGGTCCTATAGTCTCTAGGAAGTCCATAGAAAGTTCGTGGTCTATAGTCTCTAGGAAGTCTATAGAAAGTTCTTAGCTTGGTACGCCTGCTGGGATTGTGGGTCGAATGGAGGTGCCCACGGGCCCCAGGCCGAACCCGTGCACAGCAGTCAAATGAGTCGAATATCTCTCAGCAATCAGCCACAGCCACAGATCATGCACAATCCGAAGGCTCGTTGCAGTTCCTGGTAAGTTTCCGTGCCTCACCAGGGCAAGGCGCATACAGTCTGTAACAAAATCTTGGCCAAACGGACGGAGAAATCCCAGCCGTGCATGGACGCAATTGGAGGCACGCCCGGCCACACATCAGCACTACAAAAGACTGGCCTGCCCATTCTCAGGCATTCATTCTGCCTTGTGCTCTTTTGAGGCTCATTGTTTGCTGCTGCGACAGCTAACTGTTTGTTTGTTTGTTTGTTTGTTTATTTGTTTTTTGCCCTGATTGTAGGATAGTCTCCAACATTCCAGGTGGCACAGATGATTTGCAGGGTGAGTTTCTGCCCCCCCCCCCCCCCCAGCTTGATCCTATGTATTTGGGCTCTCTCTTCTGTCGTTGGGTTTGATTATTTTTTAATTCTTCTTGCTATATATGAGTAGCCTTGCTGCCACCCACCTCCTGGTAGTAGGACACTGAGTCGTTATGTTTATGCAACTTTATATCTGACCTAAATTGGACTTTTAATTTTGCCAGTCTTTGTCTCTGTTCCATTCTGCCATGATGGATGTCAAATTGTAAATACAATGGTCCCAGTTGTCATGGCGAGGATATGACCCCGCTTGGCTGTTCCCCTTGAGGACCGGAGAGGTACCCTTTCGACACCCATTTCTCCGTTGGGGGTTGGGGTAGGGGGTAGTGTTGACCTGACTCTGAGTGTGCATTTAATATCCATGCCTAACGACCCTACAAACCCCACCCCCGCCCACTGGAACTATGTGGTACTAATTAGCCTTGCGCCCACCAATAGATAAGTTTGTTCTGAAAAACCCTCGCACTGGTCCCTGAGGAAAAAACACTAGAATGAAGATATGAGATTCCTGTGAAGGGTGGCTTGGAGATACGTAGCGCCACCAAGAAATATGGGAAGGCTGTCCGTTTTAGAGCCTCTGGGTTAGAGTAATGCGCTTGCCCAGAAACGGGTACAACGTTCTATAAACCTAGCAATTATCATCGATCGATCGTCGTGCCTCCGTGTTGTTTTATAAGTTTGTTTACATGAAGTTATGAGATTCCTGGGACGGGTGGCTTGGAGATACATAGTGCGACCAACAAATTGTGGGATATGAGATTCCTGTGAAGGGTGGCTTGGAGACACATAGCCCGACCAAGAAATATGGGAAGGCTGTCCGTCTTAGAGCCTCTGGATTAGAGTAATGCGCTTTTTTAAAGTTTGCTTAAATGAAGTTATGAGATTCCTGGGAAGGGTGGCTTGGAGATAGATAGATAGCGCGACCAAGAAATGTGGGAAGGCTGTACGTCTTAGAGCCTCTAGATTAGAGTTGTAAGTTTTGTTTAAATTAATTTAGGAACGGTAATGGAAAATGATATTCTTGGTCACCTCTGCCTTTCATTCTAGAGTTCTCTGGCACCGCCCTCTTTTTTTTTATTGCAATGATATCTCCCTCGTTGCTGTCAAAACCAATCCATCCGTTTCAATGGCTCACCCACTCATCCTGCACTATCCTTCACCCACCTAGACATCATGTATCAGAAACCCCACCAGCTGCTGCTAAGGAGGATCTGAGAAGAGGCTTGCTGTGTGATTAGATTATGGAGGACGATGAGGCCAACTACCCGCCCCACCACCACCTGCCTCCGTCTTTGTGAACCCCTTTCACAAGTGATGTGAATGACCACCCCTTTTCCATGAGTAGGGTGTCCCCTTGGTTATCTTGGGTTGCTAGAGGCTTTTATGGCGACACAGAGAGAGAGAGAGAGAGAGAGAGAGAGAGAGAGAGAGAGAGAGAGAGAGAGAGAGAGAGAGAGAGAGAGAGAGAGAGAGAGAGAGAGAGAGAGAGAGAGAGAGAGAGAGAGAGAGAGAGAGAGAGAGAGGGTACGGGACCTTTGGGACCACAGAAAGGGAGTACAGCTATAGTTGGCTCTAGAAAACATGGAAAGCATAAGGAAGCTGGACTTCAAACACACCTGGAAGCCATTCCACTGGCATGGCAAGGGGTCCTCAAGGGTTGCCCTTCAGTTAGAAAAGGTGACTGGGTTGTTCCATATAACTCTCTGCCTGCCCGTATGGTCATCTACAAAGTAAGGGTTGGAAAAGGGGAGAACGGGCCTCCCTTAGTTTGCATGAGCACCACGCTTCTCAAGTGCAAGATGGTCACGGCTAACATGTAACAAGCGCTCGTCTCAACACCCCCTAGTCCCAGCTCCTGCGAATCATAGTAATGAAAGAAAAGTAAGACTTCTACTTTTGCTTATGAACCTGCAGAACACTGATTGTCTCCCTACCATTCGATCCTGACGAGCGGGAATGGAAGGCAGGAAACCCATGCCACACGCATGGGAGCACCGGCGAATTCGTCGTTTCACGGGTTTGTAGAGGGTTGCCATCGACATCCATCACTGAGAAAGAGATCAATCGATGGAAGACCCACGCCTCACGCATCGGAGCACAAGGAGATCCATCAATTCATGGTGGTAGAGGTTTGGTGTCTATAACCATCAGTGACTTCCGTCCATTGGAAAAGTGATCGATAGATGGAAGAGGGACTCTCCTCTCCAAGAACAGTCTCCCTCCCCCAGCCTCATCTGCCTTTTGTTAAGCTAATGCCCACTTCCCATTGTCAACTGCAATGGCAGATTCTGCACTGACGCCTCCAGACAACGGATACGTTAGCTTCAAGAACTACCCTACCCTTGAGCAACGAGGAAAGTGTTCCTGCTTTGCCAGTGTTGCCAACAATCAGACCAGTTTGAGACAGCAGTAGCTACCATCGTCCCCCGAATAGAACGTACGTACGGTCTTTAGAGCTGTATTTGGGGCAACTCCTAGTCTAGCTACAGTGATGATGACCATAAGTTATATGCGGGGGAAGGATGGTACCCTGGATCTTATCTGGTGAATCGCCCGCTGGCCGTACGAGTATGGTTTTGGTGCGACTTGGCGCAGCTGGATATTGTAACTTTCAATTCGTGCTGGGGAATTCAACCGCTGTTTTTTGGACTGGCGGATGGAGAAGTGGACGCCTTCCACAAGCCAAAAGGAATGTAGCCAAACTTGAGAGTGCAAGTACAGAAGAGAGAAGCCGAACACTCCAAGAACAGCTGCAGGCAGAGGATAATCCTCTCCCCCTCCCTATTCCCCCTTTCGCCACTGTCCCCTCTCCAGGCTCCCACTGTCCCATCTGTTTATCTCCCATATATACTCTCGCCTCCATAGGGCAGGCTGGCCCACCTGGGAAACAACTGGTCTGCTGTTATATACAAAGGGCGGGCATGGGCCTGCGGGTAGGGACTGTGCCATGCAGCTTCCCCTCAACCACCCCACCCCCCGGGAAGATGGCAGTGTGCCCCTTCAATTTTGGTTTAATGTTTGTGCAGTTGCGGTACCAACCAGGCCGCCTGGGTCACCTTGGTTGCCCCGGCAGCCCGCCAGCCCGACAGGGCAAGGGGAATGTCCCTGTTAAAAAAAAGAAACAAAAATATCCATAAATCCGGGAAAAAACTATGTTATGCAGAAAAATAAACCGTCCCTGTTAGAAAAAAGAAACAAAAAAATCCATAAACTGAACAATGTTTCCCTCAGGATCACGTCGAAATTCTTTCCCAAACTAAAAAAAATAAATTATATGTATATACAATATTATATATGTAAATTTTTTAAATTTTTAATTCATGTTTGGCCCGGCTGGGCAAGTGGTCCTGGGCCACTCTGGTAACGTAGATGTGCAGTCAAATGTGTGAACTTCGACCATTTGGGGTAGGCACAAAGGCCGCCCAGTAAGCGGACTTATCCTTCGCTCCGTATTCGAGAAGTCCATGGGCGAAGACCTTTCTGCATGTTGATTGTTCTGCTTATTGTTAACAAAATACAGATTTTAGACTTTTCCCGTTTTTCTGCACATTGTCAACAACATGCAGAAAAGCTTATGAAAGTCTTGTGACTGTTGCTTCCCTCCATTCCTCAGAGTAGTATCAACCTAAATTTTCTTGTAATTTGTAATCAAATTGTTTATTGCTAACAAATGTGTAAATCTGTTCATAGAAATGTTATCGATGCATTGCTTACAAATATCAGGAAGAAAGAGAGAGGGGGGGGTAAAGGGAAGGGAAGGGAGGGGAGAGTTGTAGGAACTTGGGAAACAGATAGG